TCATTTTGTTGCTTTCAAATAAAAAAGAAACAAGTGATAGCGCGCAACATAAATATGCATATTGTTGGCAAAGGATTAATTTCAACGTTACAAAGTAATGTGCAAAAATTAATATTTGGATTTTTTGGAATAAGGTGATCTGTAAAGAATTCACTATCGTTGGTTTTGCGCCAATCACGCTCTCCTTGTGCTTTCACACGCGAAATCGCTACAGTTATGTCCTGTCTTTTGTCTGCTCATTCTTTTTCCGGCGTGCATCATTTTTCCTTTTAGGTGGATCAGTTGCGGACATGATGAAAAATACCCATTTGAGTCCAGAAGAAGCGTTAAAAATCTTCTATGCAGCAACGAGAGCAGTCTGCCATATGCATGAACGAAAAGTACCTATCACCCACCGCGATATAAAGGTACGTACGTGCTAAGCCATGCACGTAAACAATGTTATATTTTATAAAGCAGATTCTTTCCTTTGTTTTAGATTGAAAACCTGCTTTTTGATGCAACAGGTCGGGTAAAGTTGTGTGATTTTGGTAGTGCTACTGTACAAACTTTTACTCCTGATGAAACGTGGAATATGTCCAAAAGAACTCAGCTAGAAGAAGAGGTGAGGGTTATTTTAAATGCGCATATCTTTCCTTTATTTTATTTTCCATGTGTACTATTCCCTGGCATACTTCTTGTATCCCTATGTTTAGATGCAAAGGCACACAACTCCCATGTACCGAGCTCCAGAGATCCTAGACACTTATCAAAATTATCCTGTTGGTCCGCAGCAGGATATTTGGGTAAAATTCTTATAAATATTTCTTTTGTTTTTCTGCTAGTCAAGTCGCTCATTATTTCAGGCATTAGGATGTGTTTTATTTTACCTATGCTATCATGTTCATCCTTTTGAGGATTCGGCTAAGTTAAGAATTCTTAATGTTGCTTACACAGTGCCATCAGGTTCTGAAGAATGCCGCGACATATTGCCTGTTATCGGTAAGTTTTTAATTAATGTATAGAATTCAGTGTCTGCGAAGATAATGTTTGTATACATACATCTAGTCTAAAGTTTCCGCTTTAATTATCTGAAGTGAGTTTTCATTTTTTATCTTACACCGCTCCACAAGATAGTTCGCTTCATCTAGGGACTGAAACTAAGTTTAGCAGACGGCTTCCGCTGTTAGTGTGCTAACTTATGTGTGAAGATTCAGAGAAACTCATATCACACTAAATAAGCAATGAAGCAGCCAGTTGCACATTGTTGGTTATGAGGCTGGTATGTGCTTTCCTTCAAAGTTTGCAAATTGTATTATTCCTGGATCACGTAAAATGCAAAATTTCTATCAATTGATAACAGGATATCAAGTATAGGCCAATACGGATTGGCCGATCCTTATAATGCTTATAAGCGCGATAAGACCGGCCGATCGAGGGTAGGTGGCGGTTGCGTTGCGACGCCGCGAATTGACGCAATTCGGCTCTATCTCAGCCTTTCCGAGCTTTTTTTCTAAAACTTTTTCTTGCTTCTTCTTTAAGTCGC